GTGCAAAGCAAGGGGGTCGGTGCAAAGGCGGGGATGGGTGCAAAGCAGGGGGATGGGTGCAAAGGCAAGGGGATGGGCGCAAAGTTTGTTTAGCGGTGCAAAGCGGCAGTTTGTCTAGTGGTGAAGGCACCAGGCTAGAACTCACCGAGAGATCGTGAGTTCTAGTCCCGCCTTAGGCGTGAAAGCCGCTGAGTGACTTTGGACCAGTCCCTCTCTTTCCGCCCAGCCCACCTCACAGGGCTGTTGCTGTGGGGAAAATAGGAGCAGGAAGGAGAATTAGGTATGTTCAACACCTTGAGTTATTTATAAAAGTAATAAAGGCAGGATAAAAAATCTAAAAAAGAAAAAGGCAGGGGGTCAGTGCAAAGCCAGCAGTGTACCCCTCCCTCGGACACATCTTTGGGAATTCAGCTTCTGAACTCACTGCCAGGGCTAAAAGCTCTTTGAAGCCATTAATACTCATTTAAATCAGTGTTGTTCAAACTTGGCAACTTTAAGATGCATGGACTTCAGCATCTCATAGGTCTGGTAGTGAATGCAGCTCGTATGTATGTGTGTGGGGGTGTCTTTTACCCCCACATGGGTCTACAGTATTAGGGAGGCAGAGAGAGAAACGCAGCTGTCTAGGGAAGCTGGCCATGTGCTCGACCTCACCTGCGGTAACTCTGCATCATCGTGCCATTATTCCCCTTTTACGGATGGACACTGAGTTTCCCCTGGAGAAAAAAAGTCATAAATGATTTCATTCCCTTTTGCATCCTGCGTGGAGAACTTGGTGCTGTACAAATGAACGGACAGGCAGTCATCAGTGGCGTCGGAAGCCTTGGCTGGCCTCCGAAGCTCAGCGGGTGACTATCCCGTGTGTTGAGTTTGGTTACGGAGTCAATGCATTGGCCGGAGTTTGCACGGCTTTGAAGCGTTCTCTGGCCAAACCTGCCGGATTCAGGAAAGATGCTAAGCTGTGAAGAAAGGATAAATACAGTAAGTCAGTGTTGTCCAAACTTGGCCACTTTAAGATGAGTGGACTTCAACTCCCAGAATTCCCCAGCCAGCCATGCTGGCTGGGGAATTCTGGGAGTTGAAGTCCACTCAAAGTGGCCAAGTTTGGACAACACTGCAATAAGTAAAAATAAAGAAGGCTAAAGCTGACCCACCTTGCACATCCCAGTTGTATTTCTCTGATCTCGTAAAGGGGTTGTGTGTACTCATCGTGTGGGGATCGTGTGGAATAGAGAATGCGTGTGACTTTGCAAGGCTGTTGCAAGGGAGGTGTGTTAAAAGCCAGACCGCACTTCAACAGGGGAGGACAGGTTCTTTGGGCCAAGATGAGCATGGTTGGTTTGTTTGTATACTTATTTTGGACCCGAAGGATTGCAATCAAGGGTGTCTGCAGGCTGTGGTCCAGAAGGTCCAGGTGGATTGAAGCTCGACTTTTTTGACCATAGCTCTCAAAACACCTTGGGAGAGTGCATCGTTTTGAAGAGGTGACTTTACCTAAGGGGAAGTTGGGGGGATATATTAAGCACAACACAGCCACAGTGCCCCTATTTTAGTCTTTATTTCCTTTGAAGAGATGCAAAATAATTGGATCGCCACAAACCGTAATTTTGGCATTCAGTTACAGCTGTGTAATTTCAGGAGGTGGAAGCACTTGAGCGATCTTGTCTGGGTCCAGAGAGTAAGCCGGGTCAGGCATGGTTTGGACCTGGATGGGACACCACCAGGAAATCACAGAGATGAAGACTGGGAAGTTCAAAGGCAGTAGTAAATCACTTCCATGTTGCCCCAGAGAGAACTTACTTGACAAATTTGTGTAGATTTGAACTCACTGCCAGGGCTAAAAGTTCTTTGAAGTTAAGCTTGACTCAAAGGCATCTTTACTGTATTGTAATCTTGGCTTACAAAAATGGCCCTGGGAAAACACTTGCAGTTCTTTATCATTTTATACATTTGCAGTACAAGTTCGTTGCTCCAAGTAGGCATTCTTTAGTTTTTCTGCCTCAGTAAGTTCTGGCCTCTGAGGGACAACATGATTTTTAAATGTTTAATATCATGACTGGTTATTCTTTCTGTGGACCCAGTAGAAGAGCCTTCTCTGACTAGTGGCTTCCAGTTGGGCTTCAAAACCCATCCTCCCCTGCCAACATATCCTGTGGTCAAGCTGACTGGGAGGATGGTGATGGAAGTTGCGGGCCTGTCTGGGTGGGTCCGTATTAAGAACAGCCCTTTAGAGCAGGGTTTCTCAGCCTTGGCAACTTTAAAACACGTGGACTTCAACTCCCAGAATCCCCCAGTCAGTGTACAAATCCCTAGAGATGCCTAAAATGACCTAATTGCAATTTTTAATATGATCGAGGGGACGATGAAATATATGACCAGAGAATAATCATACTGTATTGACTGTTTTGAATTTTAACTACATTTAAATGTAAATCAGATCGTATCAAACGCAGGGTTGCCTCGCTGCTTCTGTGCACACTGATCTTAGAGGAAGTCCCATTTTATTCAGTGCATCTTACTTCTGAATAGACTGGGACACACGTAGCATTGTGTGTTGAAGTGTTGGCTTTGTTTTTCACTTTAATGTATTGTCACCCATCCTCAGAAATATATTTTTGAAGGTGGTCCAGTCTATTGTCATATCAATCCTGGAGATAAATTAGGTTGAGATGAAATGGAAGACTTGGATCCCTTATGTCCAACATAAGAATAAAAGTATTTTCATATTTTAATTGTTGTTGCTCTTGTTTATTGCTATTAATATTACAATCTTTATTTTATTACAATAAATACAATACAATAGTATTACAATACTATTAAATACTATTAATACTTTTAAATACAATAGCATTACAATCTAAAAAAAACAACCTGCAGTTACTGTCTAGACCAGTGTTTCTCAACCTTGGCAACTTGAGGATGCGTGGACTTCAACTCCCAGAATTCCCCAGCCAGCTTGGGGTTGAGGAACACTGGTCTAGGCACCAAGCTTCTGTTAAAGGTAAGAGCTAGCTAAACTTGACAGTTTTCTCCGAAACAACATTTCTTCATGAGATAAAGTAATGTTTCCGATCTGGACGACCAGAGAGCCACGGTGGCTGAAAAATTCAGCGAGTCGATCGAAAAGTCCAGGTTGGGAAAACACTGAGATAAAATGCAAAGGGTTAAGTCGACAGAGCTGCGTTTCCTAGAGAGGCCACGGACGTCGGGAAACAGGCGGCCAAAGTTACCTGGATGGGTCTGTCCAGGGGAGCCTTCGTGCTCCTGCGCTGCGATGGCGGGAGGGGGTTTCTTGGGTGGGTGGCTGGAGCTTTTGGGGTGCGAGTGAGTGTTAGGATGGTGCAAAGGCACAATTTCAGGGTGAAGGTGAATCAGTGCATCAGACAGAAAGCCCCGGAGCAGAATAACTCGTTTGCAATCCCGCATCTCCTGGAAGGGCTGGGGAAGAGACCCCGGAGAGCCATCCACACGTTTAAACCAGATCCGTGAAACACTTGGGGCTTCGTGGCGTGACTTGACTTCCATGCCTTTGGTTTTGTTACAAATAACGTTATCTTTTAAGGAATCTTTTAAATGCTCCCTGTGTGCCGCTTTGTGCTAACCAGGATTACAAAGGGTCAGTTTTGGTCTTAATTCTCCAGCGAAAAGATGACCGTAAAGATTTGTTCTTAAATACTTTTGGAACCATATTTTTGAAGGCATCTGCCCTGGTCTCTTTATGTCGCGTGTGAGGTGCCTAACTTGATTTGAAAGGGGCGAAATCTCAGCCTTTCTGTAACCAGATTCTAGAAGGAGAATGTTATGCATTTAATTGGGGGAAAAGGCTTCCTCACTTATCAAGTATATACCCAGTCTGCAGCATTTGTTCAGAATAAAATCTCAGGAAAACAAAAAAGACAAGCAGGCCAAGTGCACATTTTTTATTTATTTATTTAATTTATATAGCTGCCCATCTCACAGATGTGACTCTGGGCAGCATACAGTAAAACAACCAGTTAGAACAAATCTAAAGCAACAATTAAACACA